TTATAATTCATTATTTATTGTTGTTAAAGTTAGAAATAATAAAGTACAAAAGAAGCATCTTGATTTCAATATTTAAAAAATATAGATTGAATAAAATTACTTTTAAAGTAAGCTAAATAATGTTGATTTACACATAGGCTTTTAGATAAATCAATGATATTAATAAATATATATGTATCTTTAAAATAAGGGMAAAATTACTCATTTTATGAAATTTAAATAATTAGGAGCATAATCCGACATGGCGTCTCAACTTTTACACTACTTTACTTTAAATATACCTATCGTAAAATATGCATTTACTATTTATTAAATTTGAATGAAGGAAATTAAAAATGTTTACGCCGACCTTTTTTATTCGAAAATGTGTTAATTAAATCATTGTTATTTATTCTTTATAAAATCTGAATGGTCTCTAAAATGTACCACCCATAAAAGATTTCCAACCAGGGTCCAAACCTCCATTTCAACCTAAATATGTTTCACTGCCTACTTTACGTGCATGTTGTAAATACTTTAGTATAAAATTATAAATTTCCCAAAACGCGCGCGTTTGTCTTGTATTATTTGAATTGTTATCAATAACTTTTGGCTCAACAAATTCATATACTACTCCTATAAATAGGTATTGTAGAAATTTGCTGAATTGYATTTATGTGAATCAGTCAGTCGTATCACAGGATATTTACAGGAGAGCTCAGTGCACAAAATCATGCTATATTTATTTATTTMTTAGTCAACACTCAACTTAGCCTATAATATTGATGAGCTGAGGTAGATAATATTTTTATTATTACTTGTTAGCAATACATTTTTGGTTCCGTATTGAAAACAATATAAAATTATACTTATTCTATTAAAATTCTAACGTATTATAAGAACTGAAATTCCTAATAACTAATAAGACTTGTATTATTTTTTTGTTCAGGAATACGTATGATGCTCCAGGGTTGAACCGTTGGCAAAATAATGCTAATGGCTCAACTGTAGCTAAAATGCAACACAAGTACTGGGTAACTAAACAACAAGTATGTAAAAAATTGGGTAAAAAGGACGACGAATTCATAGTAGCTTCCGACGCTGAACTCGATGCTAAATTAGAATTATTTAAGTCTATTCGTGGTAGTTGTCAACATTTGCAAAGGATTGTCAATAAATACGATGAAAAAGTTTATAGTGAGTATTATTTGTGTTCAGCCCATCAACTATTCATTTAAAGTATTTGCGTTCCAAAAAGTGAAATCTAACCTATAAAATGTTGTAGTTATCGAACAGTTGCAGAATAGCACATGATGTTACCTATTTACGAGTAAAATATATTACATTTGTATCTTGATAGATATGTAAAATATTTTACTCGTATAGATAACAATATATTTTACATTTTTAATAAAGATAACGACAATTATGAATGATATAAATCATACGCAATTATTTACTATTTATACTCAAATCTATAAAATAATGATTAAGTAATATGAAGTAATTWTCTGACACTTGTGAATAAAATGATAGGTATTAATTATTTTTAAAGATTTAGCATATGAAGAAAATCAAATGGGCCTGTTTTTAAAAAGATCTGGAAACAAAGATCAAACTAAAGCTGGTGAGATGATGCAAATTTTGGGAAGTTGCATGGCACAGTCAGGACAAGAGAGAATTGGCTTACGTACGCCATTAGCCAGATTACATCAGGTATAAATATTACCTTATAAAATATTACGAAATAATTACAAAAATAAAAATWATAACCCTAAATTAAAACGAAGAGTAAATAAAAAATATGATTTAAAAAYGAACAGTTGATTATTATTTATTTACCAATACAGAAAGTATCTAACAAGGAAAAAATATTAAATAAGTTTTAATTAACCAAAATATTAAAGTAACACGTGAATTATAGGCACATTTTCTTATTTCA